TTTAAAGACATGTTGCATGCAGGATATGGAGATTATGCAATAACCTGTTTCCAGTAGCATACTGCTGCCTGTCTCCAAGGACTCTTGAAAAACTGACATAGTTTCTCAAGGGACCTTCTTGATTAAAGAATGTTAATTAATTGAATGAGCATCTGTACTGCTTTTCAATTAATAATTAAAATTAGTTAGGAATTGTAATCTCTTTAAACTGATAAAGATACCTAATATTGCTGCAGCTCAGACTGAGAGACTCTTCGTTACAAAATTTAGGTAAGAAGACAAACAATTATAGAATTAATCAGAATGGCTCATCAGAGATTCAGCGGACCTAGGGCATTTGAGATGCAGTTGGTTTGCTTTCTGGCTACACTGACAACATTAGCATTTTATTTTTGGTTTCATGTGTTGAATTTATTAACCGTGACAGCACTGACATTTGTGCCAAAGTAAAAGTGAGGGTGAATGGCCTATGAAGGCACCATTACATTTAGGTATATTATCTGCAGCAGAAATTATTGTTGAAGTTCAAACGTAAAGTGCTATTCATATTTGCTCTTAGACATGAGAATGGCTCGAGACTTAATGTTCTTCTGACCCTGATATAAAAGCATGCTCATTTTATTTGCATTCAAAATGTATAATAAAAAGTGACTAACTTATATAGCTGTTTTGCAATGTTGGAAGAGCTGGGAGACTAGCCCAGACAAAAGAAAAAATATAGCTAGGAGAGCCAGCAGGGGAAATGTCAAAGACTCTATCAAACATGACTAAGAGATGGGAAAGAATGAGACATAGCAAAATAATGTCAGAATGTGTTTCAGTTTTGAAAATGAAAGAAAACCAAGAATTCTAAAAAGGTCAGGCCTTATTGATAGCCCTACATTACTACAATTCAGTGGGGTAGAGCAAGCTAGCTGTTTGTACAGTTGTCGTCATTATGCTCCATAGACTGTGCCAGGAATGACAGCAGTCAGGAGGCAGTGGAAGTCAAAAAATGCTCAGGAAAGGTCCCACACTGAGAACCCCAAAGATCTTACACACAATGGAGCCGCTCAGAGATGTAGCTTAAATCTGATTCAACTATCCCTACTGACCTGTAGTCACATTACAAAGTCTAACAGTTTAAAGGTAGTCAGTGCAACAAGTATAAAGCTGTTTTGTCCACCTTTGTGACACTAAGGGCAGTAGCATCAACTTGGAAGGAACAGAGATTTAAACAAATGCTTAAAGAAATACAAGTATCAAGTATAGAGCTACACAGCCATTGCCTTGCCTATTAACAGATGAATCCTGTATATTATATCTTTATTTTTAATGCATGTGCATATAAATAGTGGACAGTTTAGATATAAATTGAGGATTTTTCTTTCCATTAGTCTTAGGAATGGGGGTAGGGGGTGAAAGTTGTTGCTGTCTGATGGCTGTTCAGTAGGTTATATGAAATGAGTTGTGGAATCTCAGTTAACTGCAGAGTGGAAAGGTAACTCACAAAGTGGGCAGACAGGGAGTTGGGTCACAAATATCCAAATACTAACTTGTGTCCCAGGTGGCAGTCTTAGAAAAGCAGTCCAGGAGCAAGTGGACATGATGCTTGAATACTAAGAGATCCCCAGAATATCAGGAACCTTTAGACGGGAAAGTAATGGAATTGCTGGTTATGTATGCAGATTTTAGTTCCTACACCACAAGCGCATCTACATGAGATGTTTACTGCAGAGTAGACTAGTTACCTCTGCAGTAGATGTCTCACACTTACATGTGCAGGGCTATTAAGTCACAGGAAATGAATTAACTCCGCAGAAGGGTAGTACTTGCAAATACAAATACACTATTATCCTGCTGTAGAGTTTTTTACTCCACAGCACCACATATGTAGATGCTGACACAGCTGGCTGTGGCATGAGGGTGCTCTAGGGAATGCGGGGGCTACCTGCTGGCTAGCCCCACACTGGAGCAACCTTGTGCTCCAATCCCTCTGCAGCATGATGAGCTGAGCTGGAGCAGTCCTGGGATGGCAAGCTGGCCCCCAGGCCCCTGCCAGCTGGGGCTGCTCCAACCCAGTTCAAAGTGCTGTGGTCCCAGGTACATGTGTAAACATGGCACCTGAGAGCAATAAACTCCAGTGCAATATGTGCCAGAGTTTATTGCATTCCATTAATATGCACATGTTAACACACCCCCTCCATCCCCCAAAGGTGCATGATGTAAGGAGAAAGAAGGATGAAGATGAGAGCCCTTTCACCTTTTGGTTCTCTCATCACCCACAGGTGATTTGAACCTGCATTTCCCTGCTTCCCAAAAAACTACTCTAATCACTAGGCAGTACAAAGAGCATTCTCCACTCTTCTGCTCACTGGGTAGCCAAGTGGGAAGGTATGTGGGGCCAGAAAACAGACAGACCAGAGGGAATGTGGCTCAGTGACACAAGCACTGCCCTGGAAGGGAAAGTATCCTGGGTTCTGGTCCCTGTTCCTGTTCTTTTCTGGAAAGTGGGAGATGTAAATTCAAACCCCCACTGGGTAGAGGGAGTAGAGCTAGGACTTGGGTCTCCCATTCCCCGGGCAAGTTCCCTAATTACCAAGCTATTGTGCTAAAAGTGGGGGTGGGGGCACAGGAGAAGGGGATGCAGTACTCCAGCTGCGGTCTCACCAGTGCTAAGAAGAGCACGATCCCACTCTTTCTCCGGGGGGCAACAGTGCACGCAGGCTGCTGGGTCGCTGCGGAGACCTTCCTTCATAGAAAATGAGGGTGGGAAGAATGCTCCGGAGATCACATCTTGTCCAACCCCCTGCTCCAAGCAGGAACATCCCCAACTCCATCATCTCAGCCAACATTTTGTCTACCCAGGTCTTAAACACCTCTGAGGGTGGAGAGTTCACCCGCTCTTTGGTCCAGGGCTTTTCTGCCTCCTTTCCCCCTCCCTGACATCCTGGGAAGTGGGGCCGACCCAGCGGGAGCACAGATGGCCTTCAGTAATAATTTTTTTAGTACAACTAACATTTCAGACTTTCAAGGAAATGATACACCTACCCAGATGGAACAAGATCATACCAGAGCAAGAGTGGCCAGAACAGACTGATCTGAGCATGCTGAGAAGGACAGTATGCTCTCTTCACAAGTGCCATTCACCCATCTAAATTTGGGCCATGCTGCACAGCTGACTGATGCTGCAAGAGAGCTCCCATTTACAGGGAACACAGTTAAGAGTGGCATGATTTTAACAAAAGTGTTACATGTAGCACTCCCTGCCAGCTGTCAGAGACTGACTACATTTGGAAGGAGTGCCAAATTTTTGGTTTATCTGAACTACAGATCACTTTCAAAAACTCTCCTGGAGATGTGAAGAATAAGCTGAGAATCCTCTAACCTTGCTTCCCACTTCAGCAGCAGCAGCAGGCAGATTCTGCTTTATTTAACTTATCCCCCCCGTCCCCCTCAAATCCTGTTCACTTCAAATGTTCATAGGTGCTCTATTGCTAGTGCTGAACAAGACAATAAAAATAACCAGGGGGAAGTTAATTGTCTACTTCTCTTTCCCATACCCATGGGGATAGTTTGCAGCACATAAGGGAATACATTTCTCATTGATTTGCTTTCATAACATGATTGCTGAGAGGTGCTATTTTCATTGGTCAGCAAAGATTTTTCCGTACTATCTGGTTCAGCTCTAGGCTGGCAATAATTTTGTTTTAGAGGTCACTCGCCCAGCTTCTATCTCAAATTTGGCCCCATAGAAACAAAAACAAACCAGACAACAGACAGATAAACCAACCCTGCAGTCTGTCCTTAGGCCCTGAGAGAGCAATCAATGTTCTGTACTTCTCCCTCAACACAACCTCCCCTTTCCTCCCTTTGCTTTCTGGTTCTGGAGCTTTAAGCCTCTTTGTGACATCCTAATTCACTCACCAGTTGCAGCTGCTGCCAGCCTTTCAGCCAGGCTACCTGAAGCTGGGTCTTAGGTACTCCTCCTTTACACAGAGGATAAACTGTGAAGAGGAATTAAGGAAGAAGCTGCTGCTACCGCCACCTTATGGAAAGGATATTTTCATTTGACCCATGACATGAATAGAAAGGGGGGCTGCTCCTTAAAAATCAATCATTCATTTGCAAATGGACCAGAATTTCTCAGAAAAAGGTAAAATAGGCTGAGGGTACACTTACCTTTGTTCATGTTGGAAATGTGATATTTGGAGCTCACCATCTGCACTGAGACAGCTAACGGAATAAAGTATTCCTCAGCAGGCACATTGACACATGATATTAATGCACCTAATTAAACTCCAATGCAGTTCACACTAGTGTCAGCTGCTCCCAGGTGCAGTGTCTTCACACATGCCCAGGAGCACAGCAATTCAAACCAGGGAAGTCCTGGGTGCATATGATGATGCTGTGACCAGGAGCAGCTTGCCCAGAGCAGGAAGCCCAGAGTGGGTCCGCCCCAAGCTCCGGGTGATGGCATTGGCAGGGCGGAGAGGTTGTCTAGGGTAGAGGGTGCTACGGTGTAGGGCTAGCTGACAGGCAGCCCCTGCACTGTAGCACCCTCATGCCCCAGCCATCCCTGGTCACAATCAACACGTGCATTTGAACATACATAAGTGCTCCACCATAGAATAGTACTTGTGTCAGGCAGTACTAATCCTACAGCAGAGTTAATTAGTTTACTACACTCTTATAGGGTTGTACATGTAGACTGTGATGATTTACTGCAGAGCTAATTAGTCAACTCTGCATTAAAGGGCATGTGTAGATGCACCCAGTGTAAGTAAAGGTGATACAATCAGTCTTGGGAAGATTAACTGAGTTTCTTGGAGTTAGATTAAAATCAAGACTAAATTTGTTTCAATTTTTGTAAAGAAATCACAGAGCTGTGATTTAGTTGCAGGGACTTGAGTTATACATGGAATTAATTGTGTTTAGACTTCTTAGTGATCTGATCCCATACTGCGAGATTTGCTGAGACGGAAATTATGCTGGAGAGTAAATAATTGGGAAAGGCTTACCCTAATGTCCTTTTCCAAAAGTAGTTTGTGCTGAAGACTGCGTCTTCTCCTGGCCTTCGCGATGCCATTATGATAAAAATAGTACCCGTCATCTAAAAAGGGAAGCTGAGGAAAGGAAAGAGCAAATTTTTAAAAAGGCATTTAGGTGTGATTGAATAGTACAGTTTTCAAACAAGTTACTCTACATGATTTAGGAGTCTAAAGGCCCTTAACTGCTTTTTGACACTGGAATTCAACAGTCTTTCCTGCCCAAATGCAGTGGGGGGGCTGGACCCAATGATTTGTAAGGTCCCTTCCAGCTCCTAACAGCTATGAAACAATGAAAGTATGAATTTAGGAAATTAGTCACTTACGCTAAGTGCTGCCATCTAGGGAGGTTAGAGAGAGGTTAGATCAGGTTTAAAATAGCCACCTGATCTAACTTAGTTCACGAAGATATGGCCCTTATACTCAGACCTGGTCTCAGTAATCAGAAATCAATCTACACCCATAACTGTAAGGAAGTTCGGTGCACATAAACTGACCTAAATATGGTGGAACCCAGTCTAAGACAGACCTGGATCAATGTACACTCAGACATAATCAATCGAGGTTAGACCAGTGCATCAAACTTTAGTACAGTTACCTGCAAAGCCCCAGGGCTGGGAAAGCCCAGCCACTGGCCCCACCCCAAGGCTGTGCTTTTCCTACTCAACCCCTTGGCACTGAGATATTTTTAGCCCTCCACCCCTGCCTCCTCCCCATGTAGGCCATCTACCCTCCCCCCCAACCACTCCATTCTGCAAGCTTCTCCAGGTTCCAGTTTTCTCAGTGTTCACCTCTGTCAGGAGCCAAAAAATAAGTATTGATGGGGAGAATGGTGGGAGGGATGGGGAGGTAATGTTGGCCAGGAGGAAGGGTCAGGGGGCTAAAAATGGCTCCTGGTTCTCCCCAAGCCCCCCAACCCCCCACAGACCCTGCAAGTCTCCTTGTTTCCACCAAACCCTCCTGGACCCCAGCAACCCCTGTGGACACCATCAGATGCCCCAATCCCTCTGGTGGACACCACCAGCCCCTCAATTGCTCTTATGGATCCTGCCTGTCCCCCTCCTCTCCGATTCCCCTCACAGACCTCTGACCCCTCTCAAGCCTGCTTGCCACCCCCCTATTCCCCTCAGCGAGCCCCCCATCCCAACTTACCTTGGGTCAGGTTGCCCTTTTTAATGCTCTCTAGCCTCTTGACCCCATCCCTGAATGTCTGCACTTAGCCTTAGAGGGTTGAAAATGTTACTCTAGCACAAAGGTTAGTTGCCATGAGCATAAAATATATCACTTCACTTGCATGTGATATTAAGTCCCCCTGCATTCACAGCAAACAGTACCAGCTCTTCTGAAGAATTTACCAAATTACATCAGGATTATTTCCTACATGCTGAAACATCCAAAATAAAAAGATAGAATGAGCTGCAAATAAATTAAAATTGCCACATACTGTACATCAGCAATAGGAGGGATATAATGCACCTAAGATGATGTTACGAGAATGAAGGCAGAAAAAAGAACAATTTTCATTGCCTGAGATGCAATGTCTGGAAGGTCTACTGAATACCATGGAATTTATTTTATAAGGAAAAATAAGGAAAACAGATAGTTTCATATACTTACTGTGTATTATTAACATAGTATAACATTTCTAACTTTCAGTCAAAAAACTTCATTTGTGTCTCGATTTCTGAAAACTTCTGGTAATTTTATCTTCACAGCCAAATTCCAGTCAATAATTTACATCAAATCAAGCAAATATTTTTCACTTGAAATTCTCTTGTAAAAGCTGAACATTGGTACCTCGCAAAATATGTTGTATTTCAATGCTTCTAACATTTTTTAGTTGCAGGGACTTAATCTGGCAGTATTTTTAACCAAATGGTAAGGGGACAAGTGACAAAACAGAGTGAATTCTTTTTTTTTTTAATACTTGATATAAAAGGAAATTAAAGATTTCTTTTCAAGTAAAGTCTCCTGTACTTAATGAAAATTTAAGCATGGACATTTGTAACATTGATCAATCTGACTGGTAATTGAGAGCAATGGACCTGCTTATAGAGAAAAACTATTGCTTAGCACAAGGGAGCTGAATTTTACTCTTCATGAATATAATATTCTATGTGAACTGAGAATTCACATTATTATACCTAGATATCTATTCATTTCCTTTTAAGAAATTAGTTCTTATTCATACTAGTGATCTTGCCTATTATATTTTCAAGCATATTCTGGTATAAGTGTAGAGCTGTCCAAGAACTAAAATTTGTTTAATAAAAGTGTGTTTTTGTTCCAAATAGGAATAAAAGAACTTTAAAGCTTCCTGCAAATTACATTTTTGAAAAAAATATCATTTTAAGTTAATTGATTTTTTCATGTCAAGAATAGCAAACCACTTCATTTTGACATTTCAAAAATTGTATGTTTTATTTTGTAATATAACTTCAAATACATTTTAAAACAAACCTTCCCCAAAAGATCAAAATGTTTTGTGTAAATTTAGTGAAATGATTCCTTTATACCAAATTTTGTCAAAATCAATATCACCATAGATTTTTTCCTTTTTTATAAACTGAAGTATTCCAAAGAAAAAATACTTTAACAGAATACATTCTACCAATTCCAGAATATGTTAAATATATTATATATAAGGATATAAGTATAAATGAGATTGGGAAAATATAGAGATCTAGTATGTGGATGTCTACTCTACTTACAGGCAACATCAAAACAGCAGCTCTCAAGACCCACATACTGTTTGTCTTCTAACAAACTAGTTTCATAGTAAAGTAGAAAGCAGCCTAAATGCATCACTTTGCAAAGCAGACAGTCAATTCTCATAGTAAGATCAAGCAGCCAGAGAACAGGCATGCATCTGAAACCTTGAGACAACACCTTGAACTAACCACATAGGCTTGGGACAGACATTCAAAAAGCCTGAGCCTGAATTGATTCAATCTTTGCAGGTTAGTCTAACCTGGCTAGACTAAATCACTTTGTAACTGCACAGACATCCCCTCTGGACTGAAAAAATTCAGGCACATGCCAGCAATGGCTAAGGTTAGAAGCCAGGGGGTGCTAGAGCAGCCCTCCATTCACTTCCACAGGGCTGAGCTGAGGGGATGTGGCCAAGCCCTGGCAGGACACTCTGATAATTTCCCCGCCCCTCCTCCTGAGCAGCCCAGCAGGTAACATTTATCACCCCTAACTCAGTGTTTATCAACCCATTAAGAAAACAAAGCCTCTCTCCATTAACTAATGGAGCTCTTAAACAGCTCTTCCAAGGAAGGATATTAGCTCCAAAAATCCTGTCTGCCTTTGTCGTCTCCCACAGCACACACTGTAACCAGCATATGGCCTGCTAGCTCATGCTGAGGTGTCTGCATAAGGCAGAGGTGTAGGAGGAATTATTCCTGCTTATCAGGGAGAAGTCAGGCAGACACTCTGTGCCTGCAAGTCTCTACCGAAGCTCTGGCCAAGGATGCTGGGGGAATCTGATTTATCTTAAATCAACAAGGGGTCTGGGGCAGACATTGCATAAATGGGTTTGACCCAAATCAGTTAAGTCTGATACTACATTCGCCCCGGTTTATCTCAAACCAGTTTCAGCCATTTTCAAACTGGTTTATGTGCACTGAACATCTATGCCATAATTATGGTGCATTAATGAATGTGTAGACAAGAGTGTATTTGTGTATATCTCAAAGATGTATAGAGGAAAACTAAAAGGTCTGTAACAGGTTGAAACAGGTCTAGCTAATATTGCAGTTCCTTTAGTGTGAGTTTGCAGCTAGCTTGTGCCTGGTCCAGTTACTCCTGCACTATATGTGCAAGGGTGAAGACAGAAAAGATTCAAGGAATGTTTTCTCCTAGTACATATTCCATAAGTGCACTTGATTACACTCCCTCTATGCTATCCTACATATGCCCCTATTGGGGCACAGCAACCCACAAGGTACTGGGAAGAAGTGGATTTTTTCTCTCCTCTGCATAAACCATCTGAATAGGACTGACACGGAAGAAGAGGAGGTGATACCCCATAAAGGATGTAACAGCAGTTCCCTTTCCCCAGCAGACTGCAAGCCCAAAGAGGAAATCTTCCTTCTCCATGTAGATTTCACTCAATTATCCCTCTGAAATAAAGTGGTTCCACACTATTGCTAGTACAGTGCTGTGGCTAAGAGATGAAACTCTATATATGGACAATATGTTCCAAAAGAGAGCAGCAGTAGACAGAACTATTTCCTCAAGTGACAAGATCACTATGAAGGAGGGAAATGGTGTTACAATACTAAAGGTAATAAATAAATCCAAGAGTAACAAACTAAGTATGTCAGGCCTCCCTGGTGGATAAGGGCTGGCTACTGCTGCTAGATAACAGAGTTACTTCTTTAGCTTAAAGGATAATGGCCTGTGGCAAAGGTTTTGTGGCAAAGGTTCTGCTGACACCCCAGAGAGGGGAAATTGTTGTGTGTTGACCATGCAGACATCTCTTCAATGAAGGATTATTAGAAGGATTATCCCATCCATTGTAGACTTGTGATCCAGCTCCCACCTCTCCCTTACTTTCCCCCAGGGAAGTCAGGTTACTTCTGTTCCTTTTGTTTTACTATGAAGCATCTAAATAAATGCAATCAGGAACTGACTTTTATAGTCTCTCATACAGCCTCTTATAGTCTCTTGCTAAGAGACCCATATAACCTTTTAGCAATTGTTGACATATCTAGAAAGAAAGAATAGGTATTTTTATGGGTGGATATAGAATTTTGAAAAGGGGGGTACAGATGGTGAGATGTACCATCACGTATAACCCCCCCCCCACATATTTTTCTCTAGTTAAAAATAAACTAGAAGCTTTACTAATATGCTAAGGACCTAAGGCTGCACTATTCAGTTTAATATTGACGCAAAAAATATATAACTTCATTTGAATGAGTTAAAAACAATCTGTAAGGCGGTGAAATAGGAGCTTCATTACCAGGAACAGTCAGTGGGCAACAGAATTGAAGAACAAAGGATACCTTGGCTGGTGGAACATCAAGATCATTGAAAAGATGAGAGGGACATTAGCACCTATGGAAGAG